GGGCAAATACCCCTAGGCGTTTTTTAAATTATTGTGATACAGGCTTTTAGAATGGTTTTATTTGAGTTTTTTGGCTGTGTTATAGCAAATGTATTACTGTCTTAGTGTGCCTTGTTTACCACGTTTGGACATGAGTCATCACAATGGAATGCAGGGCATCAACCAATAGGCATGCAGCTTTCCTCTATACTTCTTGCTGATTGGCTGTTGGGATTTAACTTGATTAACACCTGCACAGAAGCATTTCCATACTGACAGTATGTCTGTATTCAAGTGTTTTGGTAGGTATTTCAAGCTTTCCTGCTCCAGCATTGGAATGCCGGGCATTGGACGTTTTTTTTTTATTTTGAAAATCAACAGTTTGCATTATGCAATTAAAAATCCTAACCAATAAAGTAGGGAATAGCTATCCAACTGTTGTTTTAGTTGTATTTTACTTCATATTATAGTTATATCAATGTAAATCATTGTTTTCCCTTGTGTTTCTCATTCTTTCCCTGCCATGTCGTAAAATGTGGTGAACCCATCGCTGTATTTGCTCCAAAGCAAATATTGGCCTTTCTAGTTATTATTACCTTCGCTCAGAAGGTTATGTTTTCGGTACTGTTTGCATGTGTGTACAATGTACGTTTGTGTGACTGTAAACACAATAAAATGATAAGGTCTGTATTGATTGTCTTGATATTTGGTAGGTGAGGCCTTGAAATGGCTGGATTTTGGGGCCCCTGATCATTGTAATCTGTAGCTGTTCCTCATCACTAATCAAGTTGACAACTCTGTGGTTACTCGTGATTCTGATTGACTCAATCTGGTTGATGTGCAGCAGGAAATTTGAGCAGAAAGTTTACGAAAAATATACAAAAGTAACTTGTTTCTGATGAATTCTTTAACCCTGTCTTAATATTGTAGTAATATTGTGCCTGCCTATACCACAGCAAATTTCTCACAAATTTAGAATCTCTGAAACTTTCTTTTCAACTTTATTTGACTGTATATAAAACTGGCCCCCCTTCACTTTAAGAATCACCTTTTGATGCAATTTGACACTGATTTGTTTCCCATTCTGTCCACAGGTAAGTAAGTGCACTTGTGCCTGTTATACCACAGCAGATTTAGACTCTCTGAAACTGTCCTGGAAGTTGTGACTTTATACAGTTAAAACTGACCACACTAGCTATAAGAAATACCTTCTGATGTAGTCTAAAACTGATTTATTTCCCATTCCGTCCACAGGTAAGTTAGTGCACTTACTGAAACTCTCTGAAACTGTCCTAGAAGTTGTGACTTCATACAGTTAAAACTGACCACACTAGCTATAAGAAATACCTTCTGATGTAGTCTAAAAATACTGATTTATTTCCCATTCCGTCCACAGGTAAGTTAGTGCACTTCCACCCAGACGACATCCACGTCACGGCCCTGTGTGTGGTGCAGGCCCCCGACGACTCCCCCACCCCCGAATCCCCCGTTCCCCAGCAGCTCAACAACCTGAGCGACCCCAGTCTCGACGCCAAGGAGAAGGACTCGGACAAAAGACCCGTCAGCTTGATATCGGGCCTCTCCCTGTGGAAGTCTAGCGTTGTCCAGGACTTGAACAGAAAAAACGCCGCGTTACAACGAAGAACTACGCATGAGGTAGCAGGAAAGGTTGAGTTGAAAGCCGAGAAGGCTGCGAGTTTGCCGGAGGAGGAGTCGAGCTGTCTATACCTCCTGGTTCACGACATATCAGGGATCGACGAAGAGAACTTCAGGCCCAGGAAAAACTCTGGTCCCAGTAGCAGTAGCGGTAGCAAGGGGTCCTCTCTGTACCAGAGCCTAGCGCAGGACTTTTTCGTGTCCCAGATTTCCGAGTTCGAGGATCCCATCTTGCTAGACGACCCGATAGAGGAGGGTACTGTTGTAGGGGAGGTTATTATGGAGACTCCGTCGCCCGTAGCGATGGTAGCCAGTCCGAGTAGCCCGCAGGGAGACGTCCCGTCGGACGGAAAGGGCCCGTCGATAAAACCGGGGAGCATGGTGCAATGCATTGAGCTACCGATAAAGAAGGAGGGGAGATTTAGGATCAGCGCCGTCCTCCCGCTCGTGGACGGCAAGCACATCGTGGTTGTCGTCATGGCAACAGAAGCTCAGAGGGTGGCGAGACGGTCAGCGACGAACTCTTCAAGCAAGGTGACGGAGGATGTGGAGATGAAAGAAGCAGAGGAGGCAGACGAAAGTCCGAAGGAATCCCGTGGTGCAGAAGCCATCGATAGCTGTGACGTTAAGGCAGCTCAACATCATCCCGAAGGTGCTACTAGTAGTGCGAAACCGGGGAGAGACGCTGCCTCTGATCAGGCAGAGGAGGGGGGAAAGTCGAAGGAGGTGTTTGGCTACTTGCTGCTGTACGAACTGTTCTTCACGCAGGAGTTGGTGACCGTGGTGGGGAGCCCGGTGGCGGTGCACACACTGCGGGCGCCGCGGGACGTGCTCGCGTTCGTGTCGGTCCTCCCGCAGGACTTCCTGGACCTCCACGGCGAGGACAGCGAGAGTAACTCAGCGTCGGAGGACGAAGACGACGAGGGAGTGACGGAACATCAGCCCAGGAGAGAGAGGAAAATCAGGTACGGGTTTGTATTTACCTCCGTGAAAGGTGAAAGATAGATTTTTGTTTAAAGTTCAACCTTTTGATTCAACGCAAAGAAGTTCTCTCACCTAGAACTTTCAACCACTCACTCTGGCCTTCTTCAGTAGACTGACCCAGTGAGACTTGTCACTTTGAAGAGTGACTGGTCAAAGGCTCTAGGACAGAGAACTTCTTTGTGTTCGGTCAAAAGTTTTAACTTTAAACACGAAACTACCAAGAACACAGATTGTTTTTGTCTGTGTGTCCATGTGTGTCTGATTCCGCATGGCCCATACATGTAGGTTAGGTTATAATGGATGTTGGTTCAGTCTGTCCTAGAGGGAGAATAACTATCATTTATCACGTCTACATCTGGTAGTACCCGCTGTTTTCCCAGCTGTGCAACACAGGTGTGTGTCTAAACAAAAACACAACAGAGATATTATGGGGACATAACATTAACAGAGATACTACAAGTGTGTACAATGGTATTTATTTATTTATTAAGTTTTACCACGTACAATATGCACTGTGGATGACATGAAACACCTTTTCAAAGTCGCCATACCAATAAAATGACATTCAAGACAATACAAAAAGTAATCAAATCACATAATACAATCTGAGAAACAAATGAATAAACGTATTGTGTCTCCTCCCAGGGGTCTGGGTCAGCTTGCTGCTACAACACAGGATGGCCGTGTGTGTCTTTTGGACGCTGGGACGTTCCAACCGCTGGCAGAGTTCAAGCCACAGGAGGGGGAGAAGTTTGTACACGTGACTCACTGCTCAGGGTCAGGGCAGCTGTGTGCTGCCACCTACACCGGGAAACTACACTTCCTTAAGGTATGCTTGTCACCGTCGTTGGTATCATTGTTTTTATAAGTGCTAATGGACATCTTCATCTTCATCTTTGCCGGGGCTTAAAGATGTTATGTGAGCCCCGGCTACACCCCCATATAGCCCCTGATGGGGCACTTTTAGGGGGGGGGGAGGCCTTGGTCTAAGGCGGGCAGGCCTCCAGCCTGGCCCGGAAGGACTCAACGGTGGGAGCCATAACTACCGGGCCAGGCAAGGCGTTCCATTGGGGGATTGTGCGAGGGAAGAAGGATATCTGTATACTCTTACACAGTAGAAGTTTATTGGACTAAAGTGAAAATATAATTCACATGACAGTTAGTAGAATATTCATCAAACAGTGACTGTTTTGAAAGGTAGCAAATACGTACATGTACCTCCAAATTTTCAACAGTCACTGTTGGAGGAATCTTCTACTAACTGTTAAAACTGATGAACCTCTTCAACAATATTCACCCAAATATTCACCTGAATCCTGGTCAATCGGTACCCTTTCAGAGGGTAATGAGACTGTCCATACATGTATATTGGCAGTTCCATAGGAAAAGTTGTAGCCGTAATGAGCCAGGTGGTTTTTCCATTCCACAGCCAGTTTGGTATTGAAGACATTGACTGAACTACTGTTCACAGTTGCTGCTGAGAGTCTGTTCTAGACTTCGGTCACTCTTGTTGAAAAGAAGTTTGGTTAGTTGAATAGGATGGAATTTACATGTTTTTGAAGAACCATAGTTGTGCTTAACACGTTCTGGATAACTTTAAATTTCTTCTTCGACTTGACCAGGTGTCCCACACGAGAGACAGGCCAGAGAAGGTCCCACAGCAGGGTGTGGTGGAGGTGGACTCTGTACCAGAGGAGACCACGGTGGAGAACTCTGGGCTGATACCATCACAGCCCCCCGCTCCCACGACAATGGACACATCACCACCTCCAGCTAAAGGTGTCAGACTTTTTCTTTTTTTGTGAAATACAGTAATGATGTTGTTGAAAGCGTTGTAGCTCCATTGTCCGTTTCCTACATTCCTGCTTGAAATTGAATGACATTCAATGTGATTGCACACTACTCTGTTGCATTGTTTGATTGTCTGTGTCTGTGTGTCTGTGCGTGCATGCGTGTGTGTGTGTGTGCGTATGTGTTGTGTCCACACTGGGAGCTCCGGAATTTAGACATTTGAGATTGGGTCTCACTGGAGTGAACGCTGGAGGACTTGCTCCTGTACCGGCTGCTGAAGGGCAAAGCTCCTGTCATCGCTGATGGAGCTGGTAAAGTTTTGAACGCTGGTCCCGTGGTTCACATTACTCTGTTTTGCATAATTGTGTTCAGGTGAGGCAGACGAGTTGCCCCTGTACCAGCCTCTAACTGCGGGGATCCTGTCGTCACTGTGCAAGTTGATAGAGTATTGCACACTGTTACTACGATTAACTAACGCTACTCTGTTGTACGTTGTGTTCAGGTGAGGCAGACGACTTGCTCCTATACCAGCCTCTGACCGCCGAGGTCCTGTCGTCGCTCCGTGAGCTGGTGAAGTTCCGGACGCTGGTGCCGCGGTTCACGGCCACGGTGCCGCCATGCTGGACGGAGGTGCAGCAGGAGCAGCAGCAGCGCAGACATCCGCAGCACCTGCACCAGCAGCAGGAGGGAGACGCCACCAGGCACACACGCTCATGGAGGCTACAGCCTGACAGGTTAGCATCCAACACTCACTCACTCACTCACTATCCACCAGGCACACACGCTCATGGAGGCTACAGCCTGACAGGTTAGTATCCAACACTCACTCACTCACTCACTATCCACCAGGCACACACGGTCGTGGAGACTACAGCCTGACAGGTTAGTTATTATTGTTATATTTCAGGCTCGACGGTCCATAGAATACAATTATCACATAACATGACACAGACACATCTTAAAACAAACAAACATCAAAGTATGTGCAGATACATGTAAATGTAAAAAGAGGACTACCAAGCTCTCCTACCACAAGGAGGCCCCCTTACCAGTCTACAATCATAGTGTCACCAGAACAGGCTATCGGAAAAGGCCTCCGAATGTACAGTGGGGGCATTATCCCTAGATAGCTTTAAACAACACTAGTTAGATGACTGTGCAAAGATTACATGTAACAAGTCTATCGTAATATAGCCAGCTAGAGTTAGAGAATATACATGCAGATGTGACATTGCTCCCCCCTGTGTTTCTCCTGTAGTTCCAGCTGGGATGAGCACCTGTTTGAGCTGATCGTCCCCAAACCCTGCACCATCGGCCACGTGGACGTCAAGTTCTCCCTCTGCCATAACTTCAGCGTCCTCCCTAAAATACAGGTTGGAATTTACTCGTGTCAATATTCTTATTATTATTGCACTAAAATGCTACAAATACTACAGTAACATACTGCAAATTTTGCAGTAGAAACTATAGATGGAGACCACAAAAGTCTCTGTCCAAATCCAACAATTTGCTGTCCAAATCCAACAATTTCAGTCTTCTTTGTGGTTGTTTCTACATTGCTGGTAATCTGAAGTATAGGGAAGAGAAGTCACTTCTGTAACTACCTGTTTTCTTAAGAACTGTACATTTCATTCTTATGTTGAAATATCATCAATATGAAACAAAGTTGAATCGTAATTTCCAACACGAGAACTTGGACACAGTTTTTGACTGTGCAAATCCCAGTCTTTTCATTCTCCTCGTCGCTTCGCTTGCCCAGGTGACCCTTCTCCGACAGCGTAACATCGCGGTCACCAACACCAACGGCCCGGCGCTGGACCCGGCCACACGGAAACTCCTCACCAAGACCGGCCGGCTCAAGAACAAGTCGGGCGCGACGAGCAGCGAGGACGTCTCCAGCCTGGAGAAACTGTTTCACGATGACGTGGAGGTTTGTTTGTTTGTTTGTTTGTTTATTCAGGGAACCTCCAATTAATGACAATACAACCACTACTCTTCCTGGAGTCCTCGTATATACATTTGTATATTGTAAAATCCCGAAGGAAAACATATTGTTTTTGCTCTGTTTCTTCCTCTTCCATTCCAAACAAATAAGGTCAATGACCTGAACCAGACCGTTTGTCACCATGGTAACTGGCGTTGGGTTACATCATGTTGCAATTTTATTGTAGGAGGGATTTAGACTCTTGTCACCATATACTGCATGTGAATGTGTTTGAGTAAACACCATTACCGTAACTTTGCATATTTAACGTCCAGGTGGACCAGCCCATCGAGTTTGAGCTGCAGCAGGAGGGGGAGTCCCGCGGTACCGAGGAGGAAGACGATGAGCTGAAGCCCCAGTTCCTGGACACACACAAGACGGACATCCTGTGTGGACCCATCCTGATCGAGTCAGGTTTAGACCTGACGGGGAACAGCGGGATCCTGAGCCTGACCAGCCCGGCCCTGCTCAGGACTAAACACAAGGCCTTCCTCCTGCACATCAAGGCTCTGGACCCTGAGGAGTCGGCAGGGGACGCACTCAAACCTGCCACCAACAACACCAAAGGTCTGTGCTTAAAACGTGTGTTGTTTTGCAATAGGCAAAGAGCCTAAATATCATAGGCAAACCTGCCACCAACAACACCAAAGGTCTGTGCTTAAAACGTGTGTTGTTTTGTAATAGGCAAAGAGTCTTATCATAGGCAAACCTGCCACCAATAACACCAAAGGTGTATGTTGTTTTGTATCAGGTAGAGAGTCTTATCATAGGTTGTGTTTGGTTAACGTGCTACCAACAACACTAAAGGTCTGTGTTTAAAACGTGTGTGTTGTTTTGTAATAGGCAGAGAGTCGTATCATTAAGTTGTGTTTGGGAAACTTGCTACGAACAACAATTAAGTTCTTTATGTAAAACTTATGTAAAACTTTATGTAAAACTCATGTTGTTTTGGAACAGGTAGAGAATTTTAGCATGGGCTACATTGTATGCTTGGGATGTCAAGCTTGCATTGTACATGCATACTGTAGCAGAGTGCCTGAAAACTTTCTAAATCCTGCCAAGATTTTTTTCAGAATCTTCAGAATCCTATCTGACTCAAATTCATCAGGACTGGTGTTGTAAGTTATATCATGATGCATACCTTGATTTTGGCAATGGCTATCACAAAGGTTGAAGGGAGTACTTAGTACTTAGTACTCCCTTCAAACTTCCATAATAATTATTTTTTGGGCACTTTAGGTGCAGCGATAAAGTCCATTCTTGCGGATAAGGCTCTGAGTGCGGCGGACCGGCTAGCCCAGACCGCGCCCAACCAGAAGAAGGTGGAGAAGGTCAAAGGTTGCAACTGGATCCAGGAGCTGTCCATCACCATCAGGAGGTGCAAGAGGACAACCATACCCAGGGAGAGGTCAGGAGAACTTCCTACACATTGGCAGACTTACTGTGCCTGCATGAAAACTATAATTTATTCAGTAACGTACCAACCTGATGAAACTATTCAGGGATGTAATGGAGAGGTCAGGACATCTTGCCTTAATGGTTTGGCTGTTTAGCACCTTGAGCTAGGGCAGCCCACCTAGCCTGAGGCTGTTGCAAAGGACAGAGATAACACATTACCATGGAGTTTGACACGGACAGCATAACAGTTTTTTTAACACTATTCTTCCTGCCCTTAGGTTCAAAGTTGCATCCTGTTGAACCATAGGGCGTAGCTTTGTACATATTTGGTCATTATGTAATGTCAGAAAATACAAATGTTACAGTACTGTTTAGAGCATTGAGTGTTTATGTTAAAATGGAAACTGATTATTAGGGCAATAATTATTGAATAGACTAGTTTATGACAGGGCAAGTCAAGAGTTGAATAGTTTATGACAAGGCAAGTCAACATATAGATTGGTGATGTACAACACATAGATTATAGAATGGTAATGTCCATTTCTACAGACAAATTCACAGTGTATAACCCATGCTGCTTGTGTACAGAACCCAGAGATGCCTGATGCTGGAGACCCCGTCGTTCTGGGAGCAGCTGGTGTGTTTAGCGACCGGCGAGCAGAAGGGAGCCGAGGCACAGAAATGGGACTTCCCGTGTTTCGAGCACGCCCAGATCGTGGCGCTCGACATCTTGGCCTGGCTGGCGTCAGTTCAGATGAACCAGAGAGGGTGTGTACTGTCTCCTCGTCTTTTTATGTTTACCTTTGCAGAAGGAAAATATGTTTTTGCTCTGCCTTTTGCTCTGCCTTTCTTTTTGTCCTAACAGAAAAAGGTCAGTGAGCTGGACCAGACAGCTGTCACCATGGTAACTGGTGCTGTAGTAGACACCCTGTGGTGTTGGGTTACATTATGTAGCAGGACAGAACTACATGTAGAGAGGCTGGTCACCATATAATGAATCTGTTTGAGTAAGAATAAACAGAGTAGTTTGTTAAGGTAGACTATCCCCATGTAAAGTTAACATTGTGATTGTACATGTATGCCCTTTGCAAATGTTATCTTTCTGGCTTTTATTCTTAGTCACCTTTTACTTCTTGATTTGTGACTTTTGTTTACAGTCACGTACATGCACATGTAAATTGTCCATTTGCTATCTCCAACCCACAGGGCAAAACACGGCCATGTGATCACCTGTGTGCAGTCGTACCTGCCCAGCCTGGTCAAGTCTAGCTTCCTGGAGGCCACCCGCAGCGTGGCACACAAGTGCACACGGCTCATCGTGCTCTGTCTCGAGTAAGAACAACTGTCTCATCTTTCTTGTCTCGTCCAAGATTCTAGTTTCTTGTATCATGTCGGAGCTTGCTTTTAGAGATACATGACTTTATCTGTCAGTGTAATTAAAAGAAGAGGCATTCTGTAGACTGTACTAAGACAGCTAAGCTGTCAATGTGCCCATGCAGACTCATTCTCTGTCTCAAGTCAGAACACTCAACAGTACTCATCTTTTATATTATATGTCTTTTCCAAAATCTCAGTAATCAGAAAGAAAACCATGCTATATTGGAAATGAACTGTTGATACACAAAAATAAAATTAACATGATAGCACATATTACGACATAACTGTAACAAGATGATATGAACAACATACTGACCATGGCCCTCTCTACCTTCTGTCCAGCTATGCAAAGCAGTCCGGAGACCTGGACCAGCTGGCCACCTTCAACGTGGCTCTCCTCCACGCCCTGCTGGACTGCCTGCCCCTGACGCCCCACGCCGCGTCCGCCGGCGCCCTGCACTGGTACTTCACCCTGTTCAACCACGTCAAGCTGATGGACGTGGACGCCATCGGCGGGACCTGCGTGTCGCTTCTGTCGGAGCTGTCCGAGCAGCTCAACGGCAGGATGCTGCCGCAGCATGCACTTCTCAGGGCAAGGTGGGTACTAAAGCTAAGGTTTGAAGGGTATTGTCTAATAACAGGATATCCACCACCCTAAAGTAATACCCTAATCTAAACAGATCTAAAACAAGATCTTAGTAAGTAGTTAGATCAGCTGGTTGCTGGGTTGAAGAGGTGGCAGTAGTTTGCTCCATGTTGATAATTTCCTATCACAGCAGGATGCTGCCGCAGCATGCACTTCTCAGGGCAAGGTGGGTACTAAAGCTAACTTAGTATCTACTAGTAGGTAATACAGCGACTCCAACCTGTCGGAGGTGGTTTTATGTATAGCTTACAGTTTTATTCGGAAAATCAGCCTCGCAGCATTTACACGTACAACTATTAAAAGAACTGTCCTTTAACAGGGCAATGTTCAAGGGTTAGCTGTAACAAGTCGATCGGTGTAATATAGCCAGCTGCTGCCGCGCCGCGTGCCTGCGAAGCTGGTGTGTTACGCCGAAAGGCGGTTATACCGGCTATACAGATACAGAATGTGGGTACTGAAACCCAACACACCTTGAAGAACCCACCACACCTTTCAAAAAAGTGTAGGTGCATGATCAGGTGCAGAGCCAGTCCATAGCCAGTAAGGCTGGCACAAGTGGTTGCCAGCTTGAAAACTTGGCCACCTGGGCAGGGTTGACTGTAGTTTGCTCCATACCTTTTTGCCATTACTAAGAAATGAGAAGAAACCGAATTTACTTGATTGTAGCTACATGACGATGTATGTATGTATGTATGTAACGTTATCTATATTCCATCCTTTTTGTGACCTATACTTAACCCAGTGGGTATGTGTGCACAATAAAAGTCTTCATTCATTCATGATTATTGTTCTATCACTCATGGTCTCTCCTCCACTCCAGGTTTGGTCTTCACGGCACGCCGTTTGATTCGACATGGACCAGTCCATCAGCAGTAAGGCTGGGACCAGAGATTTCTGGCTTGAAGAGGCAACCAGTTGTGCTGGTTTGACTCACGATCTCTTCTCTATTCCAGGTTTGGCCTGTACGGCACGCCATTCGAGCCGGTTCTATTCGACATCGACCAGTCCATAGCCAGTAAGGCGGGGACCGGGTCCACCCTGGATGAGCTCCTGGCCATGGCAGACAACATCAACAACCCGACGGGGAAGGACAGCGACTCCAACCTGTCGGAGGTGATGTGACTTTGATTTGATTTATTCGCACATAAGTAAAGGGCACCCCAGTTTTCCTATGGCCTTTTGCGTATCATTATGAAGTTGAATTAAAAAAATAAGTATAAAAGCACACTTCCCAAAACATAAACAACTAAAAAAATAACTGTGCAGGTTAAGGGAAAAGCCATGGTTCCCCCCCCTTCATCTTACATTATTACATTTATCAAATGGAAGTAAATAACAATAATAGCAAAGTAAGTAATAGCAAAAGAAAGTGAAGCAAAACAACTGCAGAATTCTGCAAAACTGACCTAGTCCAGGAGACCGACCAATTTCACCTATGTAATTGTTACCATGCACTATATTAAATTTCCATATGCCATAATAATCAGTTTGCTGGATTTAGAATGTTTTTCCAGATTTGTAGTGTTGCCTTAATGAATAAATCTTAGGAAGAACACGTACAGCAATCAGTTTAAGATCCCATTAAGCCGATCGGACAGACACAAAAACTCATTCATTGTGACAGCCGTAAAAGACTTGTGAATGTGTATTGGATATATATAT